TGGGACTCTGAGCAGCCTGCTCCAGTGGAAGGTGTCCCCGCCCATGGAACGACATGATCTTTAGGTCCCTTCCACCTTGAAGCATTCTGTGATTTTACTTTAAGAAAGCTCAGAATTGCTCAAGAATCAAGTATTAAAATACACGTAATTTAATATAAAATTATTTTTAATAGAGTAAATACTTGCGGTAAAATTATCAAATCTTACTAATACTGGCCAGAATCTAAAAATCTTGATCTGTTCTGGCATGTTAGAGAGTACAGAGAATAGCTGAACAGAACTTGCATATGGGTCTGTGTTCTGTTCATTCTTCAGGTCTGTGTTTACATTTGCCCTCCTGTGCCAGTTCTCAGCGTTTGGTTCGATTAAGCTGAAGAAACATGCAAATGCTTACTGGAGAAGAACTTCAGTAGCAAATGCTTACTGGAGAAGAAATTCAGTAGCAGTAGTGGTTTCTGCAAGCTTTATAGCAGATAGTATGTAAAGTCAGAAATTGGGAAATTCTTCGTGAAATGTTGGATGAGAATTTGTGTTCAAGGCGCTTAAATTAAGCAGTAGCGGAGTTAAAACCTTTAATTTCTACATTGTTTCAACTGGTCAAGGTGGGAGTCAAGATATTTGCTCTCCTAATAGTACAGGAGAGCCCTTAATAATCTCTTCTAGACTTACTGTAAATTATTAGTGATGGCAGTAGAATTAGTGGCTTCCAGTTAGAATGGCAATCAGACTGGTTGTGGAAGCAGCCACTGGCAGTATGTGCATTATTAACCCTGTACTTTGCTTGTAGGCAAGGCAGATCCGATACTTGCACGGAACAGCAGAGCGCAATGCCTCTGGAGCCTTATTTGTGGTAAATAATCTGCTTTACTCTAAGGGGGATGGGTCAGAAGAGTTTGGCATGTGCTTTTTCAGATCTGCCTAAAAGCTTCTGATGGGCAGAACTTTGCTGTAGAAACCTACTGGTATTTACAAAGAGGGTTTTTTTCAATAGAGCCTTCTATTAGAGTTGTAATGGAGTTTTATTTTAGGCTTTGTTTTAGTTTTTGTCTCTTGTGTTTCTTGCCTTATATAGTGAAAATGCTCTGTAATTTGTATGTGCTTGCAGATGAGACTTTGTTTAAACTTTATTTCATTATAAACCAGTTCTTGTTTCCTTTATTTATTTTAGTTGAGTTTGTAATTGAATCTCATTAAACTTTTTGCAGGTGCGGTTTCTTGCTTTCTGAAATTTACTGCAGAATTACCCATGGGCTCAGGTCCTAGCTGGGTTTACAGGAGTTGAAAATAATTCAATGAAAATGTCCTGTTGTGTGTGATACAGCAGGTCATACAATGAGTTGTAATTGAGGCCATTAAGCACTGTCATGAAAGGCATAAACAGTAGTAGTCATTGAAACAACTAAAAAGCCCTTGAATTTAAGTGTGTCAAGCAGCTGTGTTGTCTGTCTACCTCTGAAGAGAACCTGAAGCATCTCAAGAGAGTGTATATTTTGTGCCATTCTGCTTCATTCAGAGCTTTAGCTGGTCTGCAGTTTAACAGCTGAATATTTTGGCATTTTCCCAACACTTGGTGAAAATCAGCCCTTTACTAGAGTTGACCACTGTTGAAAACAGGTGCTCAGGATTTTTGGACACGTTGTTGTTGTTGTTATTTCCTTTCTGCAGCTGTCTCTACAGCTTTAATCATAAATGAAGTTAATAGGATCTCAGTATATGCTTTGTGTACTTTTCCAGAAATCTGAGCAGGAATTGGTGATTTACAGGGTGAGAGCTGGTGTTCAAGGCATAGAGGAAATGCTGTAGTCTGGCAATTTAGGAAACTTCAAGTGTTGTTGGAGGTTGGTGAAGACAGGCAAAAGATGTCTTTGGCACCCTAATGGCTTTTATGTCTGACATATGAAGCTAGATAGCTTTGTAAATTCAAGATTTCTGTAATAGTTTAAATTATTTGCTGCAGGGAGGCGCCTGGTAACAGAGGAAGGCAAGTAGAAAATCTGTGTGCTTTGCAGATGTTTATGTAATAGCATCGTTGATGACTTATTCCACAGCAGAATTTTTGCTAAAGGAGCATAAGAGCTTGGTTGTTCCTTGTTTTTTTCTCAGTTGTTTTCTAATAAGGTAATATTTGTTCTTCTCTGAAGTAAAAGGTAATGGGAAGAAGACAGTTGGATGTCACTATATGTGTGTGAAATTGTTTGCCCTAACTAAATTCCAGATGGTACTTAAAGTGGGAGATTTCAAGGGAAACTTGTCCTGCTGGTTTGAGACAAAGGCATTCTTTTCATCAACACCAGGTGTTCATGTACAATCAGAAAATTGGACTCCCCCTGGATTTCTGTAGAGGAAAAAAAATGTTAAGGTCTTTTTTGAATTACAAGCAAAAATGTCAAAAGTTTGTTTAAAAACTGCTTGTGCAGGACTCATGGGAATAACTCAGCCCTGTTGTGGGGGTCCCCTTAGTATGTCAGTTTACACACAAATGTCATGGGTTTGTTTTACAAAGCTTATTGCTGCTGCTTCTTGCACTTTTCATCTGTACATGAGGAAGGTAAATGCATGCAGTGTATTTGTGTTGTAACAGCAGAGGACAGGCTAGCAAGGGCCCTGGTTATCACAAAATCTAGTATTAAAAGGCATTTCTGATTGGCATGCCTGTGCTTCCCTTTGCAAACAGGTTACATGTTAACAGAAACACACAGAAGTCAGTAAGAGAACTTCTGCTGAAATGTTTTGGTATTCTGAAACACCCAGAAAGAGCCTTTCTCTCAATCATTAAAGTAAGTGCCATCACAGGCAGCTACATCACACTTCCAGTGAGAGGATAGCAAGTACAAAATTAGATTGATTGTTTGCCCATAGGAATGTAAGAGTGATGCTCCAAATTTCTACATTCTGATGGGTAGGGAAGGCCTGATTCCAGAGACATTTATTATGATTACTTTTCTTAATTGAAACATGCATTCTCTATACTTGACTTTTATCTGATTTTAGCCTTCTTATCAGCTAAAATTTAGCTCTGCTACTTCAGCGTTTTCAATACACAGACTGAGTTTCTTTAACACATCAACAGCCCTTGATGTGGGCTTTGTCATAGGGCTGCACATGGGTTTCAGCACAAAAGGTTGAAGAATTGCTCTATTCCAGGTTTAGTTACTTGTGAAGTTGGTCAGTGAGATACCTGTGTTTGAGACTACTTCTACCATTCTTTAAGTAAGAGTTTATATTTTGAGTTCTTTCGGAGTAGTGAATGTAGGGTACTTTCCCCTTAAAGGAGAAGTAATACATGTTTTTTCAGGGCTGATTTGATGTGGATTCTGAGCAGGTTGTTGCCCTAAACATTGCCCCTGCAGACCCCCCAGTTCTCTCATTTTGGTTTACAGTGCTTTGGACTGGTGTTTACCATAGAACATAGGTCAAGTTTCAGGCCAAGGTTTTGCAGTATACATGGAAACTAAATTATTCTAACTATTATGTTGTAATTCTTCAGTGCTCTGTAATAATTTTCTGTGTCAGGAAAGACAGATGGATCTGGGAAAGAAGAAAGCATAATAATAAAATGGCCCAGGTCGGTATAGCAAAAGGAATATGAGGTGACCATTCAGCAGCCTTAGTGGCTTCCATGGGAGCCACTGGCATTTGTGGCTTGGGTAGCCTTTGCAGTGAAGGTGTTCCTACTTAAATAGGCTCTCTTCTGCAATAGAAATGTGAAATTTCCACTCCCTTCGTACATACATTATTATCACATGAGACTGGGAAATTCGGGAGCATGAGAAGAGACTTGGAAGAAGACTTGCGTGGGGGAGAGTGCAAAGAGAAGAGAGCCAGGCTCATTTCAGTGGTGCCAGGTGACAAGACCAGAGGCAATGGCCTCAGAGAGCATCAGGAAACACTTTTTCCACTATGAGGGTGACAGAGCACTGGCATGGGTTGCCCAGAAAGGTTGTGGAGTCTCCCTTATTGGATAGATTTAGAAGAAGCCATCTGGACACAGTCCTGGGCAAGCAGCTCTGGGTGTCCCTGCTTCAGCAGGGGAGTTTGACTCACATGACTTCCAGAGGTGCCTTCCAACTTCAACCACTCTGTAATTTAAAATAACACTCTTTCCAATACTGTGTTCTTATTTCTCATCTTGCTCTCTAGAATCTGTATCCTAAAAAAACGTGGAAATGCACCCATGTAATTTAGAAGCATGTCAGTGTCTGTAAGTCTCAGATAAATGGCATTGTCAGACAAATGTAAGACTGGAGAACTTATATATATATATATATATATATAAATTCCTAACTGCTTAGGAGTCCTAGAACTGTGTAAGCTCTTTGATGAAAACTGTCAAACTCTCCATGGCCCAGATGAAGCCCTTTCAGGAAAAGGGAAAATATAAAAGGTGACATGTTTTATTTATTGCTCGCCTCTGCTATAGCCTTTACAATATATCGTGAAACCTTGCTAGAGCTACACCTGTATTTTCCAATATAAACTCTTTATTATTCCTTTTCACATGTAGGGCATTTAAGGATATAAATTTAGAGATGATACGCTGAAATGAACAGCTGCTTCAGACAAAGAGGGAATTTTTAATAAATCAAATACATTTATTTGCAAAAGCAATTGAGATGAAGTACAGTTGCTAACTATCAAATAGCTACAGAAGGCAAAATAATAGCAAAATAGGCATGCAGATTTGAGAAGGAAAAGCTACATTATGGAAATACTTACCATGAATTGTGGAATTGATCTGTGCAGCTAAGACATGGAAAGGTCTGTAAGGGAAAAAATAATAAAAGTTGTCCAGTATTTCCAATCAGTCTTCTCTCCATCAGCCTCTTTTTGAGAGCTTTTCAAACTCTTTTTCTACCAATAAAATTGGTAGAAGACACTCACCAAGACTAAATATGAGTCTGGAAGGGTCAGTCTGAAATAATGGGAATCGTGTTCCTATTATGTTGTAAACCACACAATGAGCAAGAAATTAACACTAAATAAAATATTAGTGTGTTCAAAGGGCATCATTCATCTTTCTGTAATTCCTGTTCTTATAGGAAAGTCATCCTTGGTGCAGTATTTATCCATGGTAGTTTTATGTTGGACTTGAAACTGTGGTGAGGGCACAGTGCTTTCAAACTGATGGTGGCAGTCATATTGTCTGCTTTGGGATATAGACAGGAAAAGCAAAGGTAATCCCTGGACAGACCAACAGATGTAGTTGAAGTATTTGCCTGTGCAATATTTCCATATTAAAATGTCTAAATCTGAGAATAGCTGTGGACCACACATATTCCAAGTTCTTCACTGATGATACAAACTTCACTTCAGTGTGCAGGTGTCTTGGCAATGCTGAGGTTTTCATTAAATCCTTTGCTGCTTAGTAAGGAGTGGAGCGTGTGCAAAATCACCCTCGGTTACTGGAGGAAATTATGCAAGTGCAAGTCAGTGGAGGGGGCTACTTTGTTCTAAATACACTTCTAAAGCTTTTATTATTGGCTAGTTGTGGACTACTTCTAACATCAAGCCTCAAGTATAGCTTGTATTTTCCCACAAACTTTCCTTTGGTTTGCAATTTTCTCAATTTGAAAACCGTATGAAGTTAAGAATTAAACTTAACTATAGGTATTTAAAGGAAACCAACATGAGCTGCTTAGAGACAGCTAAAAATTCTGTGCAGGAACATTTTCTGGTGGAAAAGAATTTTCATCAGAACTGAGATTTTACTACAGGAAAATGTTACTTTTTTCAAGACCTCCAGATTTGTATTTTCTGACTATAGAAGGAATAATTAAAATTTGAGTTTCCCTAGAAGACCACCTTAAAAATAACTTAAGAGAATAATTAGAAAAAGAACTAATTAGACTATTATATTTCTTATTTTGGAAATACTAATTCAGAATTCTGCTTCTTACATTTTGATTTGGAACTGTATGTAAAATGAAAATGTTGAAATCCATTACAAATCAAAACAATATATTAAAATGGATTAATAATGTGTTTGAATGTGTAGATGTTTTAATTCTGCAACAAACTTCTTGATGAATTGTGCAGCTTTTTAAAAATCAATGTTTTATGGTAAAGGGAAAAATGAACTGTTGTTTTAGTCTCTTGTTTATTAAGGTATTAACCAGAGTGCTCTTACTCTGCCAATTGTAAATTTGAACATAATTATCAAACTGTATTAACAGTATTAAAAATATGTATTTTGATAACAACACCATACATTTTCTCAATATATAATTTCATGTATTTCTCAGTAAATAATTTCTTTAATAGGAAGTAATGGGAATAGGTAATGATTTTCAAGAGTGATGAAATAATTATCAATATTTTGATAACTTTCCCAAATATATTTAATCACTTTGGTGCTACATTTTTATGTGGAATATATAGTTTTTATTCAAGCAGCTCAACCATAACTGTGTAATGAGAAGGTATTTTACAACAGTAAATATGTCCTGAATATTTTTCTAACAACCCATTTTTACACATTTTTCTTCTTTTTTTGAAGCATAGAGACAGTCCTGAAAACAATCCAGATACTCCATTTGAGTTCACACCTGATAACCTAAAGGTATGCAGACAAAAAAAAAAGTTCAATACACAAACTTTGTCTTTAGAACAGTACTGATTGTTTTCCTTCTTTGCCTTTAACCAGCGAATAGATGCGATCATAAACAACTACCCAGAGGGACACAAGTCTGCAGCTGTCATGGCAGTACTGGATTTGGCCCAAAGACAGCATGGATGGCTGCCCATATCGGCTATGAACAGGGTATTTAGTACTTGATTATCTTTCAAGCATAATTTTATTGCTTTCTTTCAATATCTTACTAGAATATTAATGTTGATTAATGAAAGCTTACTAATATGGGAATTTACATGTGGCACAGAATTGGGAGAATTCCCTCTGAGACTACATTTTTAAAAATAAAAGGGAAAACTAATGCAGAAAATCTCAGGACTCTGTTTATATAATATTAGCCCATTGCTAGAAACTACAGGCAGAACAAATAGAAAATTAGGTAAAACCTATTCAGATAGGCTCTTCTCCCAGAGTGATTGTAGATATAGGAACAGAGACTTGATTTTGTTCACTGCTGAATGCGGGGGAAGAAGAAAAAGGTAATGTCAGTGGAGCTTTCTTCCTCCCAGATTAATGGCATTTCATCCATTGCCTGGATTATACTTAGTCTCTAAATCTGTAAGGACTCTGCAGAGCAATGTTAGTGTAGTTGATGTAAGGAGTGTTGAGTAACAACTCACAGCAAGTGCCCAGAAAACTTGTCACGTTAATTATTAAAATTGTTTCAAAATAACCAGGCAAACAACTACACTGCTCCGAAGTGAGAGGCTGCATGACAGTAACCAAACACCAAGAAACAAAAAAAATCTGGTTTATATTCGTATGGATAAATCTGTTGTACTTTGTGTTACCATCTGGCATACTATTAATTTTACAGTGTAAAGTTTTAAATTCAGTTTAAGGTGGGGATTGTGAGCATTAGAGGAATGACTGAAGGAGGTGAATGAGCATTTAAAGAAAGGCAACTTACAGTTGTCTGCTACAGTTTCTACAGCATAACATAAAGCCTCAAAGCTCCATTAATGCTGGCAGTGTATATTAGTTATTTTCAGTTTCAGGTTGATAGTATGTTTAAAGTGATCTTAAGGCTTTTAAGTGAACAGATATTTTCCATGATTTGTTATTTGCCTGCTAGAGAAATTGGAACATAAAACAGTTACACTATTGAAACCAGAGCCAGTTCTCAACTTGAGCAGTTTGCCAGGGTTCCGTGTTAATGAGATCAGGGATACTTGCACTAGAACTGGCTCCATGGAGAACATACTCCAATCCTTACTTATTAGCTGGGACAGGAATCTGCAGGTGTAGCCTGGTGTGTCACAGAACTGAGGGAGACCTGCTCTGTATGAATTAGATAAGCACAGTACCAGCTTAAAGGTATTCCTTACCAAAAGGCTTCCATGGATTAGTGTGAGCAGGCTCGTACAGGTTGGTTCATTCACACAGCCCAAGTGCAGTGTGAGCTGGAGCTGACTCCTTGCATCCCCTTGTGTCTCACAAGAGATCCTGGAGGGGAGCTGACTCAAGCTCTTCACTGTGCTGATCCACAGTTTAGCAGAGTTTGTGCTCAAGCAGGGTGATGCCACTCAGAGAACTCAAGTGTCCGGTCTTGGCGCTTGGAATAAAATACATTTGTGCTTTGATAGCCACCCCCACCCCCCTACTTACCTGTTACTGCAAACAGGACAGGTGACTTCACTGAAATGGTTTGCTAAATGCCTTTACTGCTGCCCTCTGAGAATTCACTGTAGCATGTTTTGCCTGTCACAGGTGGCTGAAGTTTTAGACATGCCTCCCATGAGAGTCTACGAAGTAGCAACCTTCTACACCATGTACAATCGCAAACCTGTTGGGAAATACCACATCCAGGTCTGCACCACCACGCCGTGCATGCTGCGAGACTCTGACAGCATTTTAGAGGCCATTAAGAAGAAACTTGGTACGACACAAGTTTGTAATTTACTTCTTATATTTTTTTACCTTTTTTTAGTGGTACTGAAGTAAAATTCTTCATATAGTGGAAGGAAAAAACTGGCCTTGTTGAGCTTTATAAGGTTCACATGGACCCACCTCTGTCCTGTCAAGGTCCCTTTGGATGATAACATGATGTTAACATAATTTTTGAGTTCTCCATGGGAAAAGTCAATTGAGAATGGTGCATCATGGGTTGTAAGGAATACTCAGTGGTTTTGTGTATGGGTTGAGGTTTTTTCCTCCTTTTTGGGTGGTTATGGGGAGAAGAGAGGGTAAGATAGCAACTGACAACTCTTCCCCTTCTATGAAAAGCTGTGTTAACTTTTTCTAAGAACCGGTGATAAGAGCTGCAGAACAGCTGCCCGTCATCTGTAATTTCATATACTCTGTTGTCTGAAAAGGGCATATTTAGATGAAATGTCTTGTTACTGTATAGCTTAATTTCAAGTGAAACTCTCAGCTTGAGGAATCAAAGCAGTGAGGATGATTCTGTAGTCTACTGAGACAGGCCTTACTTATAACTTTGATTATTTCCATTCCATTCCTATTAGTAAATGGAGGAAAACTGCTTTTCAGTATTCTTCCTTCCATGGAGTATTTTGTAGAGATCAGATTCTGAGATGTTACTTGGACTAACTCACATATTGGGGAAGGTCTGTATCTCTAGCAGATCAGTAACATGCCATGGATGCTAAGTATGTGTACAGTTTGGTAAATCATCTTTTGTGTATAACTTGAAAGTTGTTTATGAATTTGTAGCTAACAATATTTGGATGTTGGTTAACTTGGGAATATTCAACACTGTATATTAATGCATTTCCTGTCAGCACACAAAAGCTATGTGCCCCTATATTTCCATTTTATTGTACTGATTACTAAAAATGTTCTTGAGTAGACCTGTTGTGTTTCTTAGAATTGTCATTTCATGGTTATTTTTCAGTGATTCATACCTGTAAACAAGGTCTCAAAAATGTATCTGAAAATTGACTTAATGGTTCATTAGAAACTTCTATTTAATGGAAACATTTCTGACTATTTAAGGGCACTTAACTTTGCAAATGCTTTTAAGGCCCAACTACAAGTAATGCAGTCTCTATGGAGTACTTAGATTCATGCTTTATTACTCTTGTTCATAACCACTGCTAAACCTAATTAATTTATTGGTTTAGGTATTAAAGTTGGGGAAACAACATCTGATAAGCTCTTCACGCTGACAGAAGTGGAATGTTTAGGTGCTTGTGTAAACGCACCAATGGTACAAATAAATGACAATTACTATGTAAGTACTGCATCCCCTTTTAAAAGATGAAGCTTCTTTGCTGGCTTACCTGTATTTTCCAGTTGTTCCAGATTGTGAAGTCGTGGTCACTTTTCCAATTTCTATTGACACGAAGTACTCATTTCCTGCAGCATCTTTTAGTTTCTTGGCCTCTTGCTAGAACACTTCATTTGTATCAGTGTATTTTTCATTTCAGTTACTGTCTTGATTATACAAAAGGAGTGATGCATTTTTGTGATTGTGGTCTGTTGTAAATCTGGAATTTTTAAATAGGTATTTGATAAGCTTTTGAAAGCATTTTAAAGCAGTCTGTTGCAAAGTACACACTAATTTAAGAAGTGATGTCTTGAACTGTACTCAAAATCTTTTTTTTGCAGCCGGCACCATTCTGCATGACATTATGTGTCATGGCACGTGTGCAGTGGGTAAGGCAGAGATCCAGCTCCCTAATATGAGGAAGCTGAAAACACAAACATTGTTTGTTTTAACACAATTTCTGCAACTACACGCAAAATAAAGTTTCAACATTTAAATGACAGTAGACTTTTCAATTTTCCTGCAGGAAAATTCTTTAAGCCACTATGTGTGTTAATGGATAGGATCAAAATTACCTCTGCTAGGGTCACACTGATCTGATAAATTTGAAGTGCTGCATTTAGCATAACTGGTGACTCTCAGTTTTGTCAGTAATCTTTTTTTTTTTTTTTAAACAGGAAGATTTGACACCCAAAGATATTGAAGACATAATTGATGACCTGAAGCTTTGCAAAGTTCCCAAACCAGGCCCAAGGTTAGCTATATTTATTACAAGCTATAATATATAATTGCCTGTGTTTATAAATTATATAAATGATATTGGTCACCTACACGAAGGTGATTCTTCTGAGAAACTAAATTACTTTTCTAGTGATTTGAAGCTAAAAAGGATTAATTAATTTCCTGAACAGAAGTGCATGTATTCAAAGCCAAAACAAACTGGAAAGAACTGAGAATTTGCATGTTCTTGGTGACTGACCAGAGGAGCAGGGAATGTGAAAACATGAATTCTGATTTGTCTTAGTCCTTAACAGATGAATGATGTCACCTGTTGGAATTTTTGCCTAGATCATTTAAACCAACAAATTCCTGTTGGTTGGCTGGTTGATTTTAAGTTAGTGAGAAAGGTGTTACTGCTGAACTTTTCCTATCTGTTATTTCCCACTGTTCTTTGTTAGCCCACCTACATTTGTGTCAATGGGGAAATTAATTTGATTTCGGTGTTACTTATTCCTGTTGTTTCTATAAAGATGTTTTGAGTACAAGAACAATAATCTTAAAACAGTTTCAAAAAAAACACAGGGAAGCATCCATCTATAACGAAACTGACTGATAAAATGTGATGCTGCCTGGCCAACTATAAATGAATATAAAAGACAACAAGTGGTCCTAGCTTGCATTTCAGTTGTGAATTTTTCTGTCACTACTTGGATTTGGAAACCTTTCACTTTAACAGCTACATCACACTTTTTCTGAAGGTTGAATGGGAAGGACAAAACAAAAATTAGTGGCTTCAGCCTTACGTCAGATTTTTGACTGTCTTCTATCATATGATTAAACAGAATCTGAGTTTTTACCGATACCAGCAATGAATAAACTGCTTTCATTTTTCAGGAGTGGACGTTTTTCTTGTGAGCCAGCTGGTGGCCTTACTTCCCTGACTGAACCACCCAAAGGACCAGGTTTTGGAGTTCGAGATGATCTCTAAGGATTTTTGTAATATAAGATGAACTGTCTGAAAAGAATAAAGTATCTTCAATCCCAGTAAAATTATGTACATTCTAATGTTTTGCTTTTAAAAATTAACAGTAATTAGACTATCTAACTTACTGGGGTTTTAAATACAGTTTAATCACAATTCCAGATTACAAGAAAAGTGTTCTGTAGACTGTGTGAGGTGACTCTTTGAGCATGTCCACTTATGGTCAACGAGAGATGAAAAGTTGCATCTTTTGATCTGTCATTGAAAATTTCAGCTTTTTCTAAAGCTCTTTGAAGAAGCAACAAAACTAAATTACAAATCTGGCAAAGGCACAAGGAACCAAAAAGAAAGGAGATCTGACAAAACTTCATCAAGTTACTTTTATTGGCAATTTATTATCAAACAAACACACACAAACAAGAAAGGTTATCTGAGTTGTGTTGTATAAAAAAATTATAGGCTCAGTTAGAAGTGGTTTCTTAAGCTTAATGCTTCTTAATATCATTCTGTAATCAGGAAAAATGTAAAGCCCCAAAGAGCAGCAGTATTCTACTAAAAGAATTAATAGCAACAGACACCAACTAACTTCCTTTGCAAGTTTATTTAGTACAGACAACGTATGGAGTTGGGAGAAGACAGAATACGTTCAACATGTGCTTAAGGGTAATAATATCTGACACTGGATCTTTGATTCACAGATCCTTCTTTGACCTTATTACTGTGCACCATCTACTTGCAAGAACTAATCTGTGTGAAATTGAGGAATTTCTTTCAATATAAAAAAGCTGAAGATAATTTTTTAAGAAATGGACTGCATACTGATACTTCATACCTATGCTTCTAAAACTGGGCATATGCTTTAGCTACACAGACATACATTTCCATGTAAATTAGGAAATGTGGACACATCAGTCACCTGAGACAGGCATAGTGTGTCTGTCTTGCCTCAAACCTGCCATGGAACTTATATTTGTAAATTGATGAGAGAGATGAAGCTTAACTGTATCATTTATAATTTTATTCTACATTATATTTAGTTTGTTTTGATAGTCTAATTAATAGTACTTCACCAAACTATTCTCCCTCTTCAGAGTTAAATGGTGTTTTTACAGATTACCTGCATAATGGCCATGTCATGTAGTCTATTCATGCACCACCATTTCAGCACGCTCTGTGAAGTTCCTTCACGTGCCATTAAAAAAGCAGTATTACTGTTGGTAGTTTTGGGAACATAATAGAGCTATAAACCATTTGTATGAGAAACTTGCTATCTCTTCCATATTACTATATTTATAAAATGAAATAATTGCATGGAAAATGGAAAAGAAAATTCAATAAATACATACAACTCATAAGTGAAGCAGTTTCTGAACAAGCATGAAAAAAAAAATCCTGTGTAGAAGCAGCACAGAACATAGTGCACAGGAGAAAATAGAATGGATTGAAATCTTATCTGTCATTTAAAGCCTCTGAATGCTCTTCTGAAAGGTCACTCCATGTTTGTAATAGCCTCAGGCCTTGCAGCAGGCCAGGCATCTGGCACTGTGTGGCACTTCTCTGGAGACATGAGATGAGGCAGACTGCATCTCACATCTTGATGCAAAGACAGACTCATTTCAGTATCCCAGCCTGAGTACGCTGTTTGTTCCATTTTAACAGCAACGCTGTGTTCTAGTTCATACAGCTTTACCTTATCCTAACCTTTGAAGAACATGTGGAATACAAGTGAGGATGTTGCAAGCATTGTGGAACTGTACTGGGCTACAGTTATTCATGGTTTTGTATGTAACAGTGAAATCCCATTCACTGTTGAAGGGGAACAGTTTTGGACCTGCCAAGGCTGAAACATCCAACTATACAAAAACAAAGCTCTAGAATGCCAGACTCCACCCATTTTTAAAGCCAGAAAGAATTTGTAGCCTTATCCCACTTTTCTCCCCAATTTATTCCATCTGCACGTGACGATTTTGATGTGTGCTTCAGGAGCAGAACATGGACCTCCACAGCTCCCATATTTTGGAGACTGTTAGTGATGTTCCACAAACAAGTTGTCAGTCATTCTGATGCAACATGTGAGAATCTGCCAATCACTTGACTAGAATAGAATAATTTATATTATCCCTACCGCATGGCACAAATCTGATACATCACTCTTTAAACTGAGTACTGAAGGGACAGCTACAGGACTGTGAAATGACTGTAGACAAATAAGAAAGTAACTACTACTCTCTCATCCTCTTAATTCGTCAATCATCAATATGAGGCTTTATGGTTCTGGCTTCTCCTCAAAAAAGTTTGGGCAATCATTGTTTAAATGGTTTTTAAAAAATCACATCCTGTGTTATTTCAGGTTTTGAAATTCGAACATTTCAAACATCTCAAGCAGAAATACACATTCTGCATGATTTGTTACATGTAGCTGTTTATTATATACATTAAATTATTTTCACAATGGTAACTTAGGCAGGATTGTGAATTGCAAGGTGATAGTTATGAAAGAGTTGCAGAATAGTGCAAGAATTGATACATCCCAGTTCTCTGTTCTGTTTTTTAATAGTTGTAGATAATACCTTGTGCTAGCTTTTACTAGTATTAAAAATGTATATTTTATATACATTTGCAGTAAGACATTTTTGGTAACAAATATTAAGACCGAATTGTCATTATTCTCAATAGCAGACGGCCACTAACATTAATTCTAGGCAGTAGCACTAACCTGTCAAATAATTACACACTTGCAATTCAGCTGTTCCAATCAAGCAGTTAATATCCTGGATTATAAGAGTACTGGGTGGTAAGTTCAGCAAAAAATGAGTCAACTACTGCACCAGTCCACACGTTCCTGAAACTGGTGCTCCAGCACCAACAGAGTCTGTGTTTTCAGTGGTCTTGTTTGCTTCTCCCAAATGAGGCAAAAGTTAAAGAACTCACGTATTAAGTCTCTAAACGTGGAATATAACAAAGTAAAAGAAACTGGGAAAGAAAAAAATAAAAAAGACTACCTTGAGAAGATTTTAAAATAGGTAGTCTTGAGAAAGGAAATGTGATTTAAGACACAGAAGTACAAGACACCAAAATAATCCACTGGACTGCAAGAGTGGGAGATGATGATTCTTTCTTTTGGTGAAGACAGAAGGAAGTAAGTGTGGAGTAACAGGAAATTCTATATAGCCAATGAAGTGTGTGATGGTGGATAACAGAAAAGATTTCCATGACCACCACACACTGCTAGAAAAATGTTATCTGGAACAGTGTTCTGTCATTCAATAGGGAGAAGCAGTGAGATTCCATTCCACCTGTGCAGGATGTTTGCTGGCCCCATGGGCTGACCTGCCAGTTACCTACCAGAGGCTGGTGCACACACTTCCACCTGTGTAGCACCTGCAAGTTCTTATGTCAGGTTTTGGTACTGCAGTCTGAAATTTTCAGTCCTGCAGTTACTAGACTGAATTCAGCAATGACACAGTCCAACCAGATGCCAGACCTGTGTGTCCTAAGACCAGCAGTTCACAGGGCTGGTGACACAGGATGGGAGGGCACATCAAGGGCAGTCCTATGCACACCAACACAGGGCAGCTACAGAAGCATCTTGCAGCTGTGCCAGAAGTCAAAGGGAGGGGCTGCTGGAAACAAGGGCAAGAAATTAGGGGTAGCAACTAGCCGTCAATTGACTGATGCTTTTCATTAGTCCAAACAGTAGTTCTTACAAAAGGCTTAAGGAACAGTATTTTTTCCAGTTACTGACAGATATTATTATAAGATCTTAACATCTCATGCTGCAGATATTGCTCATGAGACTCCCGCCCCAATACTTCAGCTGCTGGTTATGAACACCTAACACACACCAAATTTCTGGAATTCCACACTACTCATGCACAAGGATCAAAATGCAGTATCACAATGCAGGCCACACCTGTAGCCTGTTATGTTTTACAGTGTAGATCCATGTATAATCCATGAAAAGAAAAATTACTCTCCCTTTGCAAACTGCTCTTACTCCACTTATGCTGGCATTCCATAGGCTGTGTGCTACTCAATGAGTTTTCCACTTCTAGAGAGAGCCTCTGCCATCAACCAAACACAAAAGAATATGAAGGCAACTCCCTTTGTGACACGGTCACTCAGCTGACAGAGCTGTTCCTGGCCACCAGACAGTACCCACTGTACACTAACAGAATCAAATTAAAGTGAAGACAGTTGGTTTACAAAATAAATTATCTGTACCAGCATTTGTACAGGAAGATTGTGAAAGCAAATGAGAGAAGTTTGTCTGACCAGTAAACCGTGGAGCTTGGGAATATGAGAGATTTGTGATGCTATCATTTATCCATGCTGGTATATCATAGGGGAGGATCAGAATATACAGCAAGTCCACACAATAGGTGTCCTCAATCAAAGTTATCTTTTGATACTGAAAAAACTCTTTTCTGATGAATAAGAACTATTAAGGAATTTCTATCCAGTAACAGAATAAAGCAATCCAGTAGCAGAGTGACCACGACAATTAAAACTAATATTCTAACTATGCTAAAGGGCTTTGTTTAGCTGCCGTGTCAAAATCCTACACCTGGCCCCCTTCAGCACCTCCCAGAAGCGATCTGGAGAGCATTACTCGAAAGCCCATGCGAACTGCACCAGACGTGTTCCTTAAGTCCTGCCACACACTACTATTGTCACAAGCAAATGTAAAACCTTTCACGAGAGCAGACGAATGACTCCCTTGCAAGGCTGCAACTAGGGCTGCATCGTCAGTCTAGTAACGCCTTAGATGCCTTTATATGACGTTTGGTTCACTTTTACAAGCAGAGCACCCCAAAAAACTAGTTTGGAAACCCAGAAGTTGTCTTGTCCTGCAGCGGCGGGCGGATGGGAATTGTGCCTAAATGGGGGCTGGGGGCACGCAGCACTGCTCAGACCCGCAGGCGCGGCGGGATCAGCATCCCGCAGCCTTTCGCGAAGGAGAACGGCCACCCCGGGCTCTCCGG